TTTATATATTAATTTATATTAGTATATACTTAAGGATTTATATTTTATTTAATAAATTATAATCCATTCCTATCATTGATATAAAAGTCATGGCCAGTGCAAGCCCTTCAATCTGGCATCTGTTTGTTTTGCTATTACTAATCAAAAAGAATCTTAGAATCGTTTTAGAGAGTTCCCTGTACACACTTTACCCAGTTTCCCCCATTGTTACTTGCATTTCCATGATACATTTGTCACAACTAAGAAACTAACATAGGTACTTTACCATTAACTAAACTTCACACTTTATTCAGACTTCACTAACTTTTCCCTACTGTCCTTTTTAGAAATATATTTTATTGATTACGCTGTTACAGTTGTCCCAATTTTTTTCACCTTTGCCTGCTTCTGCACCTCTTCCCTCCAGCAGTCCCACTCCCTTAGTTCCTGTCCCTGGGTCACACATATAAGTTCTTTGGCTTCTCCATTTCTTATATTATCCTTACCACCCCTGTCTATTTTGTCCCTACTAATCATGCCTCTTAATCCCTGTACCTTTCCCCCCATTCTCCGCCTTCACCTTCTCCACCGATAACCCTCTATGTGATTTCTATTTCTATGATTCTGTTCCTGTTCTAGTTGTTTGTTTACTATGTTTTTGTTTTTTTTAGATTTAGTTGTTGATAGTTGTGAATTTGTTGTACTTTTAATGTTCATAGCTTGGTCTTCTTTTTTTTAAATAAGTCCCTTTAACATTTCATATAATAAGAGCTTGGTGATGATAAACTCGTTTAGCTTTACCTTGTCTGGGAAGCATTTTATCTGCCCTTCCATTCTAAATAACAGCTTTGTTGGATAGAGTAATCTTCTTTGTAGGTTCTTGCTTTTTATCACTTTGAACACGTCTTGCCAATCCCTTCTTGCCTGAAAAGTTTCTTTTGAGAAATCAGCTGACAGTCTTATGGGAACTCCTTTGTAGATAACTCTTTTTTTTTCTCTCGCTGCTTTTAAGATTCTCTATCTTTAACCTTTGGCATTTTAATTATGATGTGTCTTATTGTGGACCTCTTTCGGTCCAACTTCTTTGTGACTCTTTGTGCTTCCTGGACTTACATGTCTATTTCCTTCACCAAATTAGGGGTTCTCCTTTGTTATTTTTCAAATTGATTTTCAATTTCTTGCTCTTCCTCTTCTCTATCTGGTACCCCTGTGATTCGGATATTGGCACATTTGGAGTTGTCCCAGAGTCTTTTTATTCTCTTCTTGATATTTTGAATTATTGTTTCTTCATTCTGTACTGGTTGACTGTTTATTTCTACCTAACGTTCCAAATCATTGATGTGAACCCCAGCTTCCTTCCCTTCACTATTGGTTTCACTTTATATCACTCAGTGTAGCCTTCATTTATTTTCTTATGTGTTTCTAGTACTCCATGACTTCTCCGATCATCCTTACCACCAGTGTTGTGAATTCTGCATCTGGCAGATTCGCTATCTCCATTTCATTTAGTTCTTTTTCTGGAGTTTTGAATCATTCTTTCATTTGGGACATATTCCTTTGTCTGCTCACTTTGGCAGTCTCCCTGTGTTTGTTTCTATGTATTAGGTAGAGCTGCTTTGGCTCTCTGTCTTGGTGCACCTGTTCTAAGGGGCAGAGCCTTAGGTATTCACCAGGGTGGGACAACCCACTTCACTGCTTTGTGGGTGAGGGATTGGAGAGGGGACAATGCCATTGGCTTGCCTCTTACCCCATTTCCAGCCACTTTCCCCACTTCTCTGTGTGACTGGTGCCCTCTAGCTGCTGAATACCAGAAGGGGTGGGTTTGTGTACATTCTAGGACTGTGCGGGTCCTTTAAATGGCCTCTCTTGAGAGAACAGCAGTTTCTTCCCCACCTCCCCAACTGTTTTCTACAGCCAGAAGTTACGAGGCTTTATTCCTGGTGCTGGAACTGTGGGCTGCATGGTCTGGGCTGGGGCTGGGATTGCTCACTCCCCAGGTGTCCCTCCCAGTTGTTATTGCCACACCTGAACATGGAACCACCTGTTCCACTGGCCACTGCTGCTGCCTCAGTGCCACCACAACACATTTTCTCTTCGTCAGCTCCCCATCTCCACATCTCCTACTGGTCTGGATGAACATTTCTTCTTTAAATCTTTGGTTGTCAGCCTTCCATGCAGTTCAGTTTTCTGGCAGTTCTTGCTTTTTGTTTTAAGGTTGGCTATGATCCTTCCTATGGTTGTGTGAGGAGTCAAAGTGAGTCTACCTACACCTCCATCTTGGCCAGAAGTCTGTTGTCCTTTGTCTGTTCCAAGATCCTATCCAGGACACCGAATTACATTTAGATGTCAGGTCTCTTTAGTCTCCTTTGGTTTGTGTTCCATGTGCCTTTGTCATATTACTACCATTCTTTGAACTCTTCTTTACTTTCTGCCATAACAAGATGTTGCAGGCTGCTCTTGTATTTTTACTGCCCCAGCTCTGGAATCAGCCATATCTTCAAGGAGACTTGGTTCCTTTTAATGGAGAAAAGTGTTAAGAAACCATGATCTGAGGGCTAGTTGTTCTCATTGCTATTGGGATGTCACTGCTTCAGGCACTCTCTGCTCTCTGCAGATGAAGGTAGGGAATTCATACAAACACACACCTCTATATAGCTATACTATTTCTATATAATAATTGAAAATTGAGTTCACAGCAATACAACCAATTCTAATCTAAAATTCTAGAGTTAATTTTACTTTTTTCCTGATTCTTTTGTAACTCCTGACAGTGAGGAACTTAATTCTCATTATCATCAATGTATTATTGGATAAACCCTTATGTAATCTCTGATCAGGACTGTTGTCCTCTCTACTCGAATGCCTTTAACTCCACTCCTTAGTCCCAAATTCTGGTATCTTCTACGTACCAACCTACTGCACAGATAATTACCTTCCTCTGCCTAATCTAGTGGGCTGGGTTAGTAAAGAAGGAAGAAAAAAGGAAAAATAAAGAAGGAAGTGGAAGGAAGACACATAGAAAAGGAAACAAACCCTACACATTTTAGAAAATTCTATAGCTATTAAAGAAGAAACCTGAAGACAAGGAATATCTTTAAAGGGTTGAGGAAATAAATGTAAATGTAGAATTTTACACCTGGCAATTCTACAGGAGTGAATTTCACTAAGAGTGAAAGCAAAATAAAATATTTTTTAGGAAAAAAAAGCTCATTAAAAAAACCAGTGGGGCCGGGGAGGACAGTAAGAAAGTAAGAAATGCATTTTTCAACACTGAGAGAATGCTTAGTTTTAAGGTTATAAAATTTGTGAAAGTTTATCATACACTAGGAACTAAAGAAACTTCCAGAAGATGCTTTTTGGATGCAAGAAAATAATCTTAGAAGAAAGGGTGGAGATACAGGAAGAAATAGTGAGCAAAGAAATTGATGGCGTATTTTTATAAGCAATGCGATTTGTGGGTTAAAATACGCTTCACAACATTAATAGGTAAAGCTTGTTGAGTTCCTTTAAGAGATGGAAACATTTTTTGAATGTTTGATTTTTTCTATGCTACTTAAGTACTAAAAGAATAGAAATAAGGTCTATAATAGGACATATATGTTGGAGAGGTAGACTTTAGAGCCAGAATTTCAGAATTGAAATGTGAGCCCTGCTACTTTCTAGCTGTGTGACCTTGGGCCAATAACTTCTCCGTGCCCTGGTTTTTTTTTTTTTTTTTTTTTGCATCAGAACAATAGAAATACCAGTATCCAATTCATAGCATTGTTGCATCAAACAAATTTATGTAAAGCCATTAGATTTAGAACAGTGTCTAAACTGTAGTAACTGCTAAAGAAGTTTTACCCACAAACGTCCAAAACAGTAGGGGGAAAATTAGAAGTACAGGAAGACAAAACTTAATCCAAAAGAAATCAAGAAAGGATAGGAAAAACCCCAGAAATGTCAAATATCACATGAGAGCATAAACAAATACAAATATAGCAATAAATTAACACAACATGATGTAAAAGAATAAAGTAATATAATGCAATAAAATAATATAAATGGACTAAGTTCTTCGGTTAAAAGCCAAAGTTTGTCAGACTGGATTGAAATAAAACCTAAAACACATTGTTTGAAAGATATAGCTAAAACTTGAAGTCTATGGAAAAACATGTCAGAATTGATGGGTAGGCATCTTCTTCCACTACCGGCCCTTCCCCTCCTGCCTTAGCCCACCCCCACGTCTCTCTTCAGGGGCCCTCACCACCGCACCCCTGTGTCCCTCTGGGCCCCTTTGCTCGCTAAGGGGAGGCAGGGATGATCAGCTTCCAGAGCTTCTCCATTCACCAATAGGTTCACACCAGATTTGGCCGTGGTTACAACTATTGGAGGGGGGGGGTCTCAAGCCCTTACTCTCAGGTTCTTGGCCCACCCCTCTGCGATTGGTGAGGAGACACACACGTCACCGATTATGAAAGGGAGGGCTTGTGACGCAAGAAAGCCCCAGCACATGCGCATTGGCTCCTTCGAGGCTGGCGCAAGGTGCAGTCGAGTGTCGGTGCCACTGGGGCATCTGCACGTCTCCGCGAAGACCAGCGCTGCCCTTTGCTCAGCAGCTGCCGCCACTGCCGGCTGGCCTGTATGATTAGGCCACAATCTTTAATGAGTACACAAGTTCCTTTCTGTCGTGTTCTCGGTCACGCATTTATGGAGTTTCTGAAAGGCCCCAGAGATTACTGCCAGGCGCAGCACAACTTTTATGAAGGCAGATGAACTGAAGAAATTTATTGCTGCTCCACGGAGAAGCGCCGGTAAGAGCGGTTATCCTGGACACAAACGTGTAGAATTGAAGTCATCAGAGCTTTTTCAAGATTCTGACCTGGATGGGTAAATCTCTGTGCACTCCCTTTCCATTGGTTTAGCGTTATTGGAGTGAAGAATTGCTTCTCGTGAGGAGGTTCCTTCCATTTCCGATTACTCCGAGTGTCATATACAAAGCGTTAAGAGTTTTTAGTGGAGTATATTGGAATAGACTTCAGTTCCTTCACATCATTTCTGTATTCAAAAACTCTATAATTTTTTTCATAACCCTACTGAGTGTTAATTAACATGGCTCCAATGAACTGCCCAGCTCCTGTGGAAGTCACCTACAGGAACATGAGATTTCTTATCACGCACAACCCAACCAGTGCAACATTAAACAGATTTGTAGAGGAACTTAAGAAACATGGCGTTACCACAATGGTAAGAGTATGTGAAGCGACTTATGATACTGCTCTTGTGGAGAAAGAAGGCATCCAGGTTCTAGACTGGCCTTTTGATGATGGTTCATCACCATCTAACCAGATTGTGGATGACTGGCTAAGTCTCGTAAACATTCAGTTTCGTGAAGAACCCGGTTGTTGCATTGCCGTTCACTGTGCTGCAGGTCTGGGGAGAACTCCAGTGCTTGTTGCCCTCGCATTAATTGAAAGTGGAATGAAAAATGAAGATGCAGTACAGTTTATAAGGCAAAGGAGGCGCGGAGCTTTTAACAGCAAGCAACTTTCGTATTTGGAGAAATACCACTCTAAAATGCGACTATGCTTCAAAGACCGCAGAGGTCATAGAAATAACTGCTGCATTCAATAAACCGAGGCTGCCTGCTGCTGCTGCCTTGGAAGTAGAACACGAGACAGTCCTTAATTTATTGTACATGTCAGCCAACATGCAGGCTTAAGCAATGTCGATTCTAATGAAACTTCCACCGGAATACTGAAAAGCCACAAATCTGACAGAATTGCAATGTCAGTGTTTGGCTTACTATTCCCATGCCAGAAACAATACATAAGAAATAGAGGAATTAGGTGCCAAAGTACCCAATACAATACTTGTATATTTTTAGTATCATTCAGAATTAAAATTCTTAGAATTATGGACAGCGCTGTAAACTGTATGTGGTTTATTCCTTCACTCACTTCAAACATTGTAAGTAGTGCCTATGTAATTATATGTCTGCTCCTTCATGGTTACCACCCCACGTGTGTACCAGTGTACATCAGACTGGTTTCACTGAATTCTTGCCAAGGCTTATGGTGATTATTTAATGTCTTACTATAACTCTCATTTTGGGCTGCTATGGAAACCTTTGAGATTTGAAAAAATCGCCAATCTCTGGTTGAAAGTTCATGTAAAACACACATTGTACAGTAGCACATGTGTGTGAGGACAAAAAAGCCTCAATGTTTGTGCTTTGCATGCAGCTCGGAGGGGAAGGTCTGAGGACAGGATGGGGGAGGCTGGGGAATATTTCTAGTAAAATGTTGCTTTGGTCTTGGGCAGGATGTGTAAAATAAATCCTTTTATTTAGTAAATGTTTTTAAAGGTAGAGATGCTTTGCAGTTAAAACAATTTTAATTATAACATTTTTGAAAGCCTTTTAGTTTTTTGCCATGCCTGCTAGAAGTTGTTTATTAACTATTATTTTTTGAAATGTGATATTTTTTCTTGTCTTCCAACCAAAAAAGTAGTTTTCTACCAGTAAATTGGTCAGATATTTTACAGGCTTTTTGAACTGTGTAATGTAATATTTGGATAATCACTACTTTGTTTTATTATGCAACTGATAAAATGGTGACATTTAATGTTAGTTTAACCGTAGCCTGGGGATATAGTTCTGCCAGAGAATGAATTTGTCAGTGTTCACCATTCACCAGCTGGTACTAAAGCATTAAACATCTAAATAAATAATGAAATGCAGGAGAGAGATTTAATCTAAGTAAGATGGTATAGAAGTATTGATATTAATAAAAGTAGAAGCAAAGGCATTACTGAAGATAAAATAATCATTAAGGTTTTAATTCACCAGGAAGTTACAGCAATTCTAAACTTTATACATTGAACAACAGTAGTTCAAAATACATAAAGCAACTATGGAGCAGGCTGCAAGGAAAATTGACAAGTTTACCATAGCAGTGGGGAATTTTACTCTTCTTTCAGAAATCAGTAAGAGTATAAATTTGAACAAAACAATTAACACATGAACACATAAGGGGCATTGCACTTGCCAGTGAGGGTCCATGTTCTTTTCAAGAGTACATGAAATATTTTATTGAATTTGACTACATAGACAACCATAAAAATTTCAGCAAATTTTAAACTATTTGAATAATACAATGACATTTTCTGACTATAATTAAGTTAGGAAGAAAGTTAATATCCATACATTTGGAAGTTTTAAGATTTAGAGAATTCCATTTCTAGATAGGATGTAGTAGGTCAAGGAAGCCCAATACCCACCTTGCAACAGCCGGAAAATTATAGATAAATTTTAAAAAGCCATATGTTTAAAGACATGTGAGAGCTGTGAAAGCCACAGGGCTAGGTGAATAGGAACTCCGGGGAGGATGGAGCTCCCTTGAGGTAAGTGGGCGTTTTGTTTGCTGGCAGCATTTATGGATTCTGGACTTGGACTAAGGATCAGGCTCGGTCCATGCAGAGGGTCTTTCTGAGGGAAAGAGAAACCCAGCAAGGCTTTTTTGGTGCTGGTGTGGGGGAGGTGCAACAGATTGGACAATTGAGAAGCTTGGCTGGTTTCCTCCATACGTTGCAAGTTGTGAGTTCCCCAGAAAACAGATACTGAATCTGAGATTTGCATTTGGAGGTTTACTGGGGAGTCATCTCAACACCACCTGTGTGGGAGTAAGAGAACCAAGATGTGGCAGAAGTTGAGTGGTGACCCATGTAGTTGCAACTGTGTCCTCAGCCAGTCTTGCAGGAAGCTCTGAAACTGGGATGGCTTTTTAGAGATGCCCCCAATTGAGGTGAGGAAGTTGGTTCTTTGGACTCAGACCAACTAGTCATTGCATGTAGGCTGCCCCTGGGGATGGGGGTGTAAGCTTGGATGAATCATCTTTCTTTAGTCAAGTGCAATTCCCAGTGAGGGAGGATGCACCTGTGAGTCTACAGCTGCTAATACTGGCAGCTGGTGTTATGAGTGTTTCAGACCTGAAGACGGACCTGGGTGGTGCAGTCACAGCATCCACTGTTCTAAATGACAGTTGCTGAGTTCTGGGGCTATGTGAGCGGCTGGGGAGTTAGGCTGCAGGCTTAAAAAAACAAATGGAAATCCCCCTTTATCTCATTGTGTTTAGCAGACAAAGTCCTGCTAGCTATGGAGGTTTCAATCATTACCAACTTATTTTCTATCTTAAAAAAATTATAGCTATTCTTGTGAATATGAAGTGAGATTTCATTGTGGTTTTAATTTTCATATGACTAATGATGTTAAGCATCTTCTCCAGTGCTTTTTAGCCATTCACATATCTTTTTAATTAACATGTCAATTCAAATATTTTTCCCAATATTGCAGTTGGATTTTCAGATATATAATTTGCAAATATTTTCTCCCAGTCTATTGCTTGTCTTTTCCTCCTCTTAATGGTGCATTTCAAAGTAAACATTTTTAAATTTCTGAAATAAAAATAAAGTTTATCAGTTTTTTCTTTCATGAGCCATGTTTGTAAATTGTATTTAAGACCTTTCCTCTATCAGTCACAAAGATTTTTCTGCTATATTTTCTTTGAAATTTTATGGTTTTAGCTCTTACATTTAGGCCAGTGATTCATTTTGAGTTCATTTTTGTGTATAGCATAAGGTATATATCTGAATTCTTTTTCTTCAAATATTTATTTATTTACTTACTTATTTATATTTTATTGATTATGCTCTTACAGTTGTCCTGATTATTCCCCCTTATTTCCCTTCTACCCAGCATCTTCAACTCCCTCAGCCAATCCCCACACCGTTGTTCATGTCCATGGCTCATGCGTATAAGTTATTTGGCTACTCCTTTTCTTAAATTCTACTTTACAGCCTCATGGCTATGCTGTAACTACCATTTGTACTTCCATTCCCCCACAGCCCCTCTTATCTGGCATCCATCAAAACATTCTCTGTATCCATTATTCTGTCTCTGTTCTTCTTGCTTGCTTGGTTTGTTTTTTAGATTTATTTTTGACAGGTATATATTTGTTGCCACTTTATTGTTCATAGTTTTGATCTTCTTTTTCTTAGATAAGTCCCTTCAACATTTCATATAATAATGGTTTGGTGATAATAAACTTCTTAGTTTTTTCTTTTTTGGGAAACTCTTTCTCTGATCTTCTATTGTAAAAGATATGTTTGCTGGGTAGAGAAATCTTGGCTGTAGAACCCTGCTTTTCATGACTCTGAATATTTCTTGCCAATCTCTCCTAGCCTGCAAAATTTTTTTCCAGAAATTGGCTGACAGTCTTATGGGAATTCCCCTGTAGGTAATTAACTGCTTTCTTTTGCAGTATTTAAGATTCTCTCTTTATCTTTAACCTTTGGGGTTTTAATTATGATGTGTCTTGGAGTGGGCCTCTTTGCATTCACATTGTTTGGGACTCTGTGCTTCCTGGACTTGCATGTCTATTTCCTTCACCAAATTACATATATTTTCTTTTATTATTGTTTCAAATAGATTTCCAATTTCTTGTTCTTTCTATTCTCCTTCTGGCACCCCTATATGTGAATGTTGGAATGTTTGAAGTTGTTTCAGAGGCTGTTTACACAATGCTCATTTTTTTAAATTCTTTTTTCTTCTTCTTGTTCTAATTGGATGTATTTTGCTTGCTTATGTTCCCAATCATTGATTTGATCCTTGACTTCATCCAGTCTACTGTTGATTCCCTGTAAATTGTTGTTTATTTCAATTAGTGTATTCTTCATTTCTGACTGGATTTTTTTAAATGCTGTTGAAGTCCTAACTAAGTTCTTTGAGCATCCTTACAAGTGTTTTGAACTCTGCATCTGATAGATTGCTTATCTCCATTTGTTTAGTTCTTTTTCTGGAGTTTTGATCTGTTGTTTCACCTGAGCCATGTTTCTTTGTCTCCTCACTTTGGCAGTCTCCCTGCGTTTGTTTCTGTGTATTAGGTAGAGCTGCTATGACTCCTTGTCTTGGTGATGTGGCCTAATATAATAGGTGTCCTGTAGGGTCCAGTGTCATAGCCTCTCCTATCACCCAAGCTGGGTACTTGAGATGTGTCCTTTGGGTGGGCTGAGTACACTCTCCTCTTGTAGTTGAGCCTTGATTGCTCTTAGTACTCAATGGGAGGGAGGTACCTAGGCTAGTCAGCTGCAAGGACTGGCTGTTGATCACAGACCACTAACTTCTGTCCTCTGTGGAGGATCAGCTATGTGGGGGCAGGGTGGTGGTGCTCCAATGTGGTCTGTAGCTGTCCACCAGGTAGGAGCACAGGCTCTGGGGTTTTCTGGGTGGTATAGGCCAAGGTCAGCCTCACCTATATTCTGCCTATGGCCACCCTGCATGTACTATAAAGCAGTCTGAGTTGGCTGCTACTAGTTCTGGGCTTGGAAATTCCCAGGTGAAGACAAGATGTGAATCTAAATTGGGTGCTGCTAATGCTGGGCCTAAGGCCACTTAGCAAGAATTGCGGGTGCTGGGGGCTTTCTGAGGCCAGCTGTTGCTTGTTTGATAGGATTTAGGAGGTTGTACATCATGAGTCAAGACCAGCCATTCATATGGAAAAGTTACAATTAACAGTTTGGGTGGGCCCATAAGTTGGGTGGGACAGAGTGTCCGGGGATTTCTAAGGCAGGGCAAA